GAGAAGGTAGAGGGGGTAGGGGAAGCATAAAGGAACTAAAACTAACTCTCTCTCTCTCTCTCTCTCTCTCTCTCAGGTGAGGAGACAATTTATAAGTAATACATGTCGTTGTAGTTAACTAGGGGTCTATCTACCTGGAGGAGGCGTGGGGAGGGAAGGTAGAAGGCGTGGGTGTAGGGAAGGTAGAAGGCGTGGGTGTAGGGGAGGTAGAAGGTGTGGGTAGGAGAGGTAGGGGGCGTGGGTGTAGGGGAGGTAGGGGCGTGGGTAGGGGAGGTAGGAGGCGTGGGTAGGGGAGGTAGGAGGCGTGGGTGTAGGGGGAAGGAAGAAAAGCTCCTCTGTTGACGCCTCTGCATGTCCATCCCTTCCTCCTCTTGTTTCCTTCTTTATCTTCCTTCTCACCTCCCCTCCTCTCCTTTCGTTTCTCCCTTCCTTCCTCCCGCCCTTCCCACCTCCCCTCTTTTCCATGGCCTGTCTCTCCTTACCTATCATTTTCTTCTCTCTTCTATTCTTTCTTTCCAGACATCCGCTTTCCCTCCCCTCATCCACTCCCTCTCACCTTCTCCCTCTCTCACACCGTCTACCATCTCTCAAGGGCCGTCTCTCTCATTATCTCTCTTCTGTGTCTCTTGTTTATCTCTCCAGTGTTTTCTTATTTCTTCGCTTTTCAGATTTATTTCGATCATTATCTTGAGAGAGAGAGAGAGAGAGAAAGAGAGAGAGAGAGAAAGAGAGAGAGAAAGAGAGAGAGAGAGAGAGAGAGAGAGAGAGAGAGAGAGAGAGAGAGAGAGAGAGAGAGAGAGAGAGAGAGAGTGTGTGTGTCATCGGTGCTTGCCAGGTGTAAACATCTCTATAACAGGTGTGATAGTTTAATCTCCACTAATTAATTACTAATTAACCTGTCTCAAGCATCAAGACTCGCAGGTAAACAAGGAGGATTACTCATAGGACATTAGAAACAAGTAGAGGAAAATCAGGTTCTGTACCTGTAATGCTGTATTTACCTGTAATGGCATTTGTACCTGTAATGCTGTATTTACCTGTAATGGCATTTGTACCTGTAATGCTGTATTTACCTGTATTGACACTTATACCTGTACCTGCAATGGTAATAGTAATTAATGGGGAAATGAGGGTAGTGGGTGGGGGTGAGAGGTAGTGTGGGGGGGGTCAGTTCCTCGTGTCGTCCAGGTGGGTGAGATAAAAGACGTGATCACAGGGTGGGTGGAGTGTAGCCTCTGCCCTCCCCTCCATCGATCACTGATTCTCTTCCCCCTCCCCCCTCCCTGATTCTCTTTCCCCTCCCCCCTCCCTGATTCTCTTCCCCCTCCCCCCTCCTTGTATCTCCGAGGTCTTAACCCTTTTATTGTTACCACACACTAGACCAAAGAATGTCTGTCTGTCTGTGTCTATCTGTCTTTCTATGTCTCTGTCTAACTCTCTGTCTACCTTCTTGTCTGTCTGTCTGTTTCTCTTTGTCTGTATCTGTGTTTGTCTGTTTGTCTGTCTATCAGCCAGCCTCCTCTCTCTCTCTCTCTCTCTCTCTCTCTCTCTCAGCGACAAAATCTCCGAATTAATTTAAAAACATTAGAGAAAAGGCCCAGGTGTAATATCCTGCATAGTTAATTAACGACGTCATTGGTGAAATTACTGTTTGGCCAAGACCAGCTGATTTGATTAATTTCTTGGCTCACACACACACACACACACACACACACACACACACACACACACACACACACCTCAGTGAAGACGGTCGCTAGGAGTACATTTCAAAATCCATTCCTTACTAAACCATCTCTTTTGTGTTTACCTCAAGTATCTCTGTTTATAAAGACAAGAAGTGGATATACTTGTGAATAAATCAAACTCTGGGTAAGAATTTTTTTTTCAATTCGATGAGTTTAAGAAGAAGGGTGTTGGATTCTCCTACCCCCCCTCCTCCCTTCGGGAGGGGCGGGGGGGGGGGTTCAATCTCGCTGATAGGATGCGTCTTGGGGATTCAGAATCAATATCCACTCGTAATTTCATATGCTTTAGGTTCGGGCAGGGGAGCTAAAAGGGGTGCGCACCTAATACACAAAGACGTTCACTTGTTTAGCTCTCGTCGCGCTAGGTAGAGGAGCGTCCGGCCGCTTGGGTTAATTACTCTAAGTGCCGGGGACACGTGAAGTGGAGGAAGAGGAGGAGAGGAGGCCGCCGCGCCATCGCCCTCACTCACACTTTCCCGCCATCCACACTCCACCGCTGGAAAAAAAATAGTCACACTGGTTCTTTCCTTCGTCTGGGAAAAAACTCTTTATTTGATTGACTTTATATAATTCTTTACTGTTTATTTTGATATTTATGCTTGTGATATAATTATCGTGGCTGTAGATAAGGAGTGGGAAAATGTTGGTAGCGCTGAGGTGATTTTGCAACGGCGGCGGCAGGTTTGGGTGGACTGAACTGGTTGGTTGTCGGTCGGTTAGTCTCCGGGTGGGACGTGCGATATAAATGCGTCCAGCCGATTTTACCTGAGTCCTCATTCATTCCGGGAGAACGCCCAGGGGAGGGAGGGAGGTGGCGGCGACCGGAAGGGAGGAGGCTGGCGGCTATAGTGAGAGAGGGAGGGGGCTGGCGGTTACAGAGGGGGGAGAGGACTGGTGGCTACAGGGAGGAAGGAGGGGGCTGGCGGCTACAGGGGAGGATGAGAGGGTCTGACGGCTATAGTGAAAGGGGAGGGGGCTGGCGGCTACAGGCTGGCGGCTTTAGTGAGAGAAGGAGGGGCTGGCGGCTCTAATGAGAAAGGGGGACTGGCGACTATAGTGAGAGAGAGGGCTGGCAGCTATAGTGAGAGAGAGAGAGGGGCTGGCGCCTACAGAAAGAGGGCTGGCGACTGGGGCGAGGGGAGGGGCTGGCGGCTACATCACTAGAAGAGCATGGAAGGGTCTGGCGGCTTCAGGAAGTGAAGAGGATGTGTAGGTAAAAAAAGAAAAAATAGCAAGAGGAGAAGGGGGAGGAGGGGAAGAGGGAGGGGAGGGGGAGAGGGTGGGATGGCGATGCAGGAAGAAGTGGGCAGGAAGAAGAGAAGGGAGAGGGATTGAGAGAGAGAGAGAGAGAGAAAATAGGAGAACAAGAAACAAAATATACAGGAACTTGAAGGAATAGGGAAGGAAGGGGAGGCGAGGAAGAATGTGATGAAAGTGGAATGACTGTATTATAGAAAATAAACACAGAGGAGAAGGAATGACGTTGGAGATGAGGAGGGGGGAGAGAGGAGGAGGTGGGTAGTTCTTGAGCCTGGAGAGGAGGACGGAAGGAGGAAAAGTGAATGATATGATGAAAAAAGGATTGAAGTTGATGGTGTGTGTGTGTGTGTGTGTGTGTGTGTGTGTGTGTGTGTGTGTGTGTGTGTGTGTGTGTGTGTGTGTGTGTGTGTGTGTGTGTGTGTGTGTGTGTGTGTGTGTGTGTGTGTGTGTGTGTGTGTGTGTGTGTGTGTGTGTGTGTGTGTGTGTGTGTGTGTGTGTGTGTGTGTGTGTGTGTGTGTGTGTGTGTGTGTGTGTTAACAGATCATAAAACCTCACAAAATATAACCATTACAGCTAAGTGACAATGCCTGTAGATTTTGGCAGCTAATCATCAGGTCAAAGGTCAAGGTCACTAATAGATGCAGGTTAAGCCTTAATTAGTTTTAAAGGGTTCAGAGACATGAATTGGTGTCTGGGTAAACTATTAAAATTTCCTGGAGGAAGAGGAGTTAAAGGGAGAGGTGAGAGGGGTGAGCCAAACCGAGTGAGAGGGAAGGGGTGACAACAGTGTAAGGCAAGAGGGGAAGGGGTGACAACAGTGTAAGGGAAGGGGGGAAGGGGTGACAACAGTGTAAGGGAAGGGGGGAGGGGAGGCAGAAACACATCAACCAAGAATGAACACAGTGGTAGGGAAAGGGGGGGATAGGGAGGTAGGAAAGAGGAGGTAAAGGTGGGGAGAGATGAGCGCGAGAGAGAGAGAGAGAGAGGATAATGAGGGAAGGGGAAGGAAGCAGGAAGGAGGAAGTGGAATGTAACGAGAAGTTCTGACGAGGAATTAATGAAAGAAGGAAGGAAGGAAGGGGGACTTGGGACAAGAATGGCAGGGACAGCAAAAGGAGGAAGAGAGGGATTAGAGCGAGAAATGGGAATGCGAGGAGGGGAATTAAAAAAAGAGACAGGAAAAAAAAGGGAAACGGTAATAGGAGTATAAAGGGCGGGGTGAGAGCTGAGAGATACTGGAGATTGAGACGAGAGAATAGCAAGTGAGAGGTAAATAGTGGGAAGAGATGGAGGGAGGGAGGGGGGGAAGACGGATACAAGAGGGAGATAATGAGGAAGATAAAGAGTTGCATGGGGAAGTGAGAGTTGGATTAATTGTCTCCTTCCTGTACACAATTTCATTACCATTGGGCTGAACACGGTATTATATCATAAATATTTAACATTTTCAAGGTATGATGATGTGCCCAGCTGCTACTGTAGGTGGTGTGGTGACCAGTCTGGAGGAGGGAGGTTGTATTATAGCCCGTGTTCCTCTGTAAGTGCTGGCCAACGTATCCAGCCTCTAGTGTAAGTGGTGACCAGTCTTGGGAAAGGAGATGGTTGGATCCATGTTCCTCTGTGAGCTCTGGTTAAGGTATTCAGGTTTTACTGTGACCAACCAGGACGAAGGAGGTGGTTGTTTCTCGGTTCTTCTGTAGGTACTGGTCAGTATATAGAGGTTCTGCTGTAGGTGGTGGCCAGCCTGCGTCGCCCACACGTAGCGTCAATAATGGGGTCGGCCGGCGACAGACCCAGGTACCCGCTGCTGCTAGAAACTTTTTCTCCACATCCAGCGGCCCCTTCGTTACTGGACCGACTCTCAGGGGACCAGCTGAAAGTTTCGCAGCCTGGAACCAACCTGAGAGACGGAGGGGCAGCAGCAGCTACAGGTGCTTTTGCCATTACCAGAAGGTTTATTTGATTTCGTTTGGAGAGTACCTCGTCTGAGTTTTAAGGCTCCAGGAACATCTCATCGGCTTGGAGTTTGGTCGTTGTCTCTTGTAGATCCTGTGGCTTCTTGTCCTGGGATTTTGGGGGTCTTGGGATTTTTTCGTGAGTGTTCCAGTCTTCATAAGGGTTCTTTAGGTTCTTGTAGAATTTTCACGGTGTTGTTTTTTTTAGAGGTTCTGATGTCAGTGTTCCAGAGCCTTGTAAAAGATTCTGGGTTTTGTCTTGTAGTGAGTAATTCTTATATGTTACGGTGGTGGATGCTTCAAAACCTTGTTGTGGGTCTTTTAGGATCTTGTTAGGTCTTGATCGGTGTCTTCCAGGGTCTTGCTATGGTTTTACAGGGTCTTATTGCAGGTGTTCCAGGGTTTTGTCATATGTATTCCTGATTGCTCATCTTATTACATCGGACAATCAATGGCCAGTGTACTAACTCTACTCTTTGATTTACTAGCGACTATCCAACATAATCCATCTATTTATCTACCACCAGCTAGCAGCATCACTCTCTAAGTAACTATGGATCTCATGATTAAAATCCTCTCTTATTTCTCCTGATGATTAAACACCCTAATGCTCACCTCACCTCACCTCACCTCATCTCACCTAAACCATTTACCATTAGAGTGTTCAATCATCAGGTGAAATAAGCGCGGGGTCCTAAACTTGATAAGATCCGGAACTATTCCATCTATCTGTCAGTAACTCACTCGTTTATCTCTCCCTTCCACCCTCGTGTCTATTGCCCTCGGTCTCAAGGTTCGCCCATAAACACACTTGGCAAGACGAACGCCCTCCTGAGCGTCTTTCGGCCCCCTTCTTAAGCAACTAAGCGACGCTCTCCTACCTTACCCAAATGGCTGGCGGGTGGGCGGATGGGTGGGTGGGGGTGGGGGGCAAAACTTTTTATCGAGTTGGCTGCTCGGACTCCTCCACGTCGCCGCCTACAACGCCTCCTGGGGGAGTCCTGAAGAAGAAGGGCACCCGCTCGACGTTCCACCTGAAGCACGTAAAACCGCTCCCCCTCCCTCCACCCACCCATCCCCCGTTCTTACTCCCTCCTCGCGCTCTCTCTCTCTCTTTTTCTTTTCATCTTTATTCTCTCTTTATTTATATAGTCTTTCTTTTTCTTTATCTTTCCTTCCTCTCTCTCTCTCTCTCTCTCTCTCTCACACACACACACCATGCAACAGAGGGACGGGGGGGAGGCTGGACTAGTGGGAAAAAAAATAAAGAAAGTGGAAATCGTAAAGAGGACGTGATCAGACTGTCAACATCCGGCCATTATATCTTTTGTTTTAGTCTTGGTTTATTATTATCATTGTTTACTTCTGAGTTGACTGTCAGTTTATTATTATTATTGTTCCTTTATTATTATTATTATTATTTAAGTTATTAGGATATATAACTAACACAGATACCTGAGTCACGTGTGGGGGTAATGTCCCTCCTATAATGATATACTGTATTATTATAAGCCTATCACAGCCTATCACTCATCTGACCTTGTTTTTTTTTTTTTCGAAGTCTTCCCCGCGTCTGAAGTCGTTTTCTATAAAGCGTCAAAATCAACAAGAAAGACCACAATTTTTCCCCCCAGCAGTTCTTGTCTACCCCCGCGGGACACTACCGGGGTCTTGAGCATCATCTTGTCGTGTTAAGATCAGGTGACGAAACTCAGTGACGGTCGTAGATAGACACACACCTTTAGTCAGTCTATATCACCTGTGTTTCATCAACCAAATGACCGAGTCTCCTGAATTGACTGAGAGATTTTTACTCACGTGAGGATGTTTTTTTTTTCTTTTTTAACTGAGATAATTATTAATTGTTGGTCGTAGTTGTTTGATGATGATGTGAACGACTCCAACAGTGGCTGACGTGGTAACTAGTATGGGAAGGGACATATTTTTGTTGTGGGGACTTTTAAACATTGTTAATTTTAGAGGATAAATTGTGTTGTTGGAAGATGTTAATGTTATAAAATGTTCAAAATGTTAATAATGATGGAGAACGAAGAATTTAGCTCTGTTTATATTACCTTGAAAAAATTACGTTTAAACCAATATGTAAAAGTTGAGGAAACTAGAAGGAAATTGAGGGGAAAGTAATCTACTGTAATGAACTTCGGTACACAAGGAGGCAGCAATATGGTTGGCACTGTACTCGCTAGTCTTCATTCCCCCAACTGTAAAGGAAGGTACTGTATACCCATTCACAACTGGGTCGATTAGTGATGCCCCTAGTACAAACTATTGACCTTAAGGACAAAAAGCGAGCTCTATACCCACTCGCCCACCGTAACCCCTGTGTATGGTCATGTATGTTACCGGTATAATACAGCAGGTAAAGCAGGTAGACTGTACTGTATCTGCTGAAGTGGGATAGGTTTAATACCCTAATATTCCTCCTGCTGAAATAGGTCCAATGCTTTCGTAATCTGCTAAGTCGGTATAATGCTGGAGTCTTCAAATATTTCTGTGACTGCTGCAAAAAATGTGAGAATGGCAAAATAAATGTATTGTTGATGTGGGCGTATTGCAAAAAAAAAAACTATTGTCTGGTCTTATTGCAGAAAAGATGTTTGAACTTGGCTTATTGGCAAATTGCTTACGCGTTAGTTGTTTATTGCAAACCATATATCTATGTTAGTGGGTTTATTACAGTAGATATATTGTTTACAGGTTAGTGGACTTTTCAGAATGTTTAAATGTTGCTGTAGGGTAGATGGAGAATGTTTAAATGATGCTGCAGGCTAGAGGCAGAATGTTTAAATGTTAACTGTGTTTGTTGCTTTTTTTGTTTCTGAATATGCGGAAGTATTTTTATAATGTTGGACTGTTTGTGAAGGTGTGTGTGTGTGTGAGAGAGAGAGAGAGATTAAAACTCCTTCACACACACACACACACAGATTAAGAAACTATGTAAATAAGGTGTGTCAAGACAAAGAGACGAAATTTCTAAACACGGAAAGAAGAAGGAAATATTTTAGAATGAGAGACAAGGAAAACGAACGAGGGAATGAGAAAGACTCGATAAATCCAGGACTTATGTGAGTGATGAAAGTGGAAGAAAAGAATGATAAAAATAGAAAAGTGTAAAAACAGGTGAATAAGGAGAATGCAAATAACGAAAATGAACAAGAGGTTTAGAATAAGGGGAGAGGAGAGAAGAACGGCTAAGAAAGAAGGGGAAAAGGAGATTACAATAGGGTAAGTGGGGGAAAAGAGGTGAAGAAAAGACGTAAAGAAAGGCAAGTCGTAGAGGGGAATAACAGGTAAAAGAATGTTTGAGGGGAGAGGAGGGAAGGAAAGGGGAAGGGAGGGAGAGAAGGAGGGAGGGAGAGAAACAGAGTGGGGGCAGGGAGAGAGAGAGAGAGTGGGAGTGAGGGAAGAGGAGTTAGGGAGGGAATGACGTGGGACGGAGGGAAGGTAAGGAGGAGGAAAAGAAAGGGAGGGAGGGAGAGGGAGATAAAAGTAGACATAAACAAAAGTGACGATGAGACGGCAGAGTAAATGGTTGAGAGAGAGAGATTTCAAGAGAGACAATACAAAGCTGAGAGAGAATGGGAGGGAGGGATGAGAGGGAGGGAGGAGGGGGTGCTTCCTACCTGGTAGTTCCCTCATCAGCGCCTCCCTGCCCTCTGATCTTAATGAGACTATTCAGACTGCACGACGTCCCTCTCTCTCCCTCTCCCCTCAGATCTCCCCGTCTCTCTCTCTCTCTCCCTCTCCCCACAGTCTCCCCCGTCTCTCTCTCTCTCTACCTCCCCCTGAAGTCTCCCCGTCTCTCTCTCCCCAAGATCTTCCCCTTCTCTCTCTCCCCCCAAGGTCTCCCCTTCTCTCTCTCTCTCTTGCACCAGCCTCCACCTCTCTCCCCTCTCCCCCACCACCTCCTCTCCCCGCCTCCTCCCTCTCTCCCCCACCAGCCTCCTCCTCTCCCCTCTCCTCTTGTCCCCTGTCATTTTTGCTTTTAACCATCATCAACTTCCACACATTTACCCTGCTAGTAACCTCCTCCTCCTCCCCCCATTCTCCTCTTCTTCCTCTTCTTCCTCCTCTTCCCTCCTCCCTCCTCTCCTCTTCCTCCTCCTCCTTCCCTCCTCTTACTACATCTCCATATTCATCCCTACCTCGTTCAATCTGTCTCCCCTTCTCTCCCTCTCTCTCCTTTCTCTCTACTCTCTTTTCCCCTCCCTCCTCTTCCTCCCCTCCTCCTCCATTTTCCATATTCATCCTTCCTTCTCTCTCTCTCTCTCTCTCTCTCTCTCTCTCTCTCTCTCTCTCTCATAAAGACAAGTGAGACAACCTTACTCATCTCACTCACTCTCAAACTCTTGATAAAAATTCCTTGTCCGCTTCGCCTCACTCTTTTATTCCCAATTCTTTCTTTATTGCTTTCTTCTCTCTCTCTCTCTCGCTCTCTCGCTCTCTCGCTCTCTCTCTCTCTCTCTCTAACATTAAAAATAGTTTGTGATAGTTGTTTTGTTAGTAGTGGTGGTAGTAGTAGTAGTAGTAGTAGTGGTAACAATAGTAGCAGCTACAGGGGCTGGTGAGTGTTGTCCCCGCTCGACGTCATCATTTTATCCTCAGTATTATGAATGAGACTCAAGAGTACGAAAAATGTAAGACGTAAAACTCCTTCCTTCATTTTATGGGAGGGAGGCAAATATCTACCTCCCTCCTCCCTCCTCCTCCTCCCTCCCTCCTTCCTTCCTCCCTCCCTCCTCCCCCCCTCCCCCTCCCCCCTCCCCTCCCCTCCCTCTCCACCTCCCTTCCTCCCCTCTCCCTCCCTCCCTTCCTCCCCCTCTCCTCCCTCCTCCCTCCCCTCCTCCCTTCTCCCCTCTCCCTCCCTCCCCTCCCTCCCCTCCCTCCCTCCCTCCCTCCCCTCCTCCCCCTCTCCCCTCCCTCCCCTCCCCTCCCCCTCCCTCCCTCCCCCCTCTCCCCTCCCCTCCCTCCCCCCTCTTCCCTCCCTCCCCTCTTCCTCCCTCCCCTCCCTCCCTCCCTCCCCTCCCTCCCCTCCCTCATCCCTCCCTTCCTCCCCCTCCCTCCCCTCCCTCCTCCTCCCTCCCCTCCTCCTCCCTCCCTCCCTCCCTCCCTCCCTCCCCCCCTACCTGGCTGCCTGGCACTCGGGGACAATGG